GCCCAGGACCGCACCCGGCGGTCCGCCCTTCTTCAGGACCCCCTCCCCAAATGGCCGTCAGGGAACGGGATGGGATGACGTGTTCAATACTTATTTTACCGCTGTATTGTCATTGATACAACAAATCTAGCAAACACAAATTTCCTTACATTTTGTGCCAAGTGTAGATATTTAAAGAGAAATGTCAACGTGCTGAATGAGACACGACACAAATTAAGATTTCAACCCATAGTATTTATTTAGATTCTAAAAAACTATACTGACATGGTCGATAACAAAACCTGGCTCAAAAGGTCATTAAAAAAAGATGTTAATTTGGGAATAATTTAGTTTATGCTGAGTTAACACAGGTGAGTAAACTGAAGTGAAAATGTCTCCTGGTTCCGACTGAATCTGACTGCAGTGTTTGGGTTCTGCTACGGTCACCTGAAGCCGGTTTGGACCAGATTAGAACTTCTAAGTGTTCAAGGTAAGAAAGCACAACGCTAACAGGAATGTAGGCCTCAGGTTCAATATTGAACACTGCTGACAACATTTATGAGCTGAAATCTGCCAAAGACATCACTTCAATTGTTTGGCTGCTTTACTTTTGGCCAAAAATCTGTTTTAATGTTTTAATGAGATACAAACTCTTTATTTTCCCCCATTGAATAGTTTAGTGGATGAACTCGTCAGCAGAACCTTTCCTCAGGAAGTCTTCATGAAGCTGAACAAATGTTAAAAGAATTGTGTACAAAAAACATTCTGTTTTCCTAATAAAGAAAAAAAGAATTAGTCACATTAATACAGAAATAAATGGCACATTGAATTCCTAATTTAAACAAAGTGACGCTTGAGGTTCTTTTTTTTTTTTTTTTTACTGAGGAGACAAGTTAAATAAATTACTACCATAAATGTTACAAATCTGTAGTAGTATATACAAAAGAGTTATTAGACACAACAAAATCTACAGTTTCCACTTTTCGGTTCTGAGTGTATTTTACATTGGGTTTGTTTTAAAACTGGGCCGAGTGGTTCTGGAACAAACCCTTCAGTTTATGGTTCTACCTTTATGTCCCTGGACCAGTGGTCTGCAACCTGTGGCTCTGGGGCCATGTGGGGCTCTTTGGTTCCTCTGCAGAGGCCAAGAATAACATAAAAATGAGTCGATGTGGTCATTTTCTAGTTTTTTAGCCACTTATTTTAATTTTCAGTCATGAAGAGAAAATTAAACTTTTAACAAAAATTAAAGTAAGAAAGGAGGAAAAAAAATACGAAAAAAGTAAAATTTTAGGGAAATGAATCAGTCATTGTAAAATAAAACCTGTCTAAATATCCAAATTGTCTCAACTTGTATGTTTAGTCAAAGAATGTACGATGACACTAATTTGTTGGTAAAAATTAGTGTTAATTTTCCATTAATACTTAAAATTTATTGTTTTTTTTTGCTTATTTTTAAATTTGAAAACATCTGATAAATGTTCAGCTCCATCAATAAAAACAATTCTGAAATATTTTGTTTTCTCAGTTTTGACCATAAAGTCCRAAATTTTGGTAAGAGTTGATGTTATCGCCTGATAAAAGTAGAACGCTGAGTCAACAGAAAAACTTTAACTTATAAAAACTCGAATTTCACTGACAGTAAAACATCAGAAAGTTGTTTTTTTAGGACTAAATGAGAGAAAAAAACAAACAAAAAAAACTTGCTCAGTTTTTGGTTCTGAACAGCCTGTTGATTTCAGAAGCAGATTTTAAATATTTGATGGGACGAGGTGCAGAGGTGGTTCTGGGGATCGTAAAGGTTGCAGACCTTGGGTCCAGCTCCTGTTATGAGTCCGTCCGGTTCCACAGGTGAGGCTAAAACCTACAGAGAGACTTGATTGTTCAGTTCTGTGAAGTAGAAACACTWAAAATGATTTGTGACGCTACAGAAGTCCAGATCAGCTCCTGACCCGACTCTAAATACTACTCAGGTAAAAGAGGAGGGGGAAAAAAAAACAAACAAAAGCTGTTTTTCCTTTTCCAGCTCATTTCCAATGCACTGCAACAACAAATACTGTCAGACATCCCATAATATCACTGTTCATTAGTATCTCCATCGCCTTCCTCACCTCCATATGATGCTTTTCAAACATTTCACAATCCCCGGCTTTTCCCTTCAGCCTCCCTGAACTCCCAGCTGATGAAGACTAGTGGTTGTGGGGGGGGGAGCAGAGCAGAACTGACCTCGGCGAGGCGGCTCTGGTTTTTGTAAACACTTTTGAGTACAGAGCGGAAACCTCTCACCGTTTGATTCATGGCTTTCACAGTATGTCGCCGTCCTCGGAGGACAGCTGAATGAGACGCTGTTTCCTGTCGGGCGCACATTTTCGACTGGAAAAGATGAAAAAAAAGAAAAAAACAAAAGAGGAGATCCTTCATGAACCGTTGGAGACCGGAGCTGCGTCAGGCAGTGAGAGCAGAGGGGCAGGTGTGGTCTCAGATCAAGTTTCTGACTGCAGCACCTCCGTCATTCCTCTCCAGTGTGACTGAAAGGGGCGGGGCTGGGGGCGGGGTTAGTTACAGAAGGAGCAGTTGGTGGTTAGAGGTGGAGGGTCTGGAAGGGTCTTCGTGCTGCAGGACGTCTCAGAAACGCTCGAAGTGGGTTTGTGCTCAGACTGTTGGGGAGGTGGCCCTTCTGGGATTCCATTTTTTATTTTTTTATTTTCTTATTTTATAACAAAAGAAGCTTTAAGAATGTAACATAAAATTATTAGTCCAACACTAGTGAACAGAGCAGAGTGGTGAAAGGCCCCTTCCCCTCCTCTCTGCTGGGATTACCCAGCAGCTGCAGCAGCACTCTGTTCCTTTCTCGCCATTTGTTTGTTTGTTTGTTTGTTTGTGAGTCCACCTCGTCTTTAGCCGTCCGACAGGTTGCTCTGAATATTGTCCATCCACAGCTGGCAGGTCGCTCCATCCTGGGCGCAGAAGTTGTACACTCGCCTGTTCGTCTTGATCTAAAAGTTTAGAGAGAAGAGGAACGTAAATACAAAAATATACAGCAGAAAGATGCAAACGTTCTGATTGGACGTAAGTACCAGGCTGAATTATGTATTACTACAAACAAACAAACTAGGGCTGCACGGTATATACGGTAGACGGTAGAAACGGTATGAAGTTGGCTTACGGTATAAATTTACCCTCTACTGTCCTATCGTCATTATGTCATCGCACCTGTGTCAACAGGGCTGTGAGTCCAGAGACAAC